GTATATCAAAGCAATTTTCCCCATTGAAATTAACTGAAATATCATTAATGCGTTCCAGTCCCCAAAAAACACCTTAAGTGTTTTTAAATAAGATAAATGTATTTAAAAGAAGAAACATTTATTTATAAGTAACAAAAAATACATACACATTCTGTAAAAACATAAGAAAAAGTAAAGTGCTTACGGAAGCACTTAATTTTCGTCAGTGATCTTCGTTTTTTTCGTCACACTTTGCTCATTTTCATCTGCAGATCGTTTAAAAAAACTGTCCAAGAAGGTTTGTTTCTTCCTCCCTTTCATAATATTGCGCAAATGTGTCAAGCAAGTTTCGTTGAACAACACCGATGCACGATCAGTTGTAACTTTTTCGGGTGATTTTTTTCCACGAACTCTGCAACTTTCAGGATCTCCTATATATCTCTTGTAGAGACAACGTCTTCCAATTCTGGCTCTTCTTCAAAACTAATTTTTCGTTGAACCACCGCATGCTGCTGCGAATGTAGTTTGTCTAACTACTCGGTTGTCAGCTCCTGAGACTGTTCCTCGACAAGTTCGTTCACATCTCTTTCATCCACCTCCAGACCCATGGATTTTCCAAGAGAAACAATCTCATCTACCACTGACCCTTCGGGTTCCAATCCCTTTCATGGGCCCTTTCATCTACAGCCTCAGGCCACAGCTTCTTCCATGCAGAGGTTAAGGTCCTTGTTGTAACACCTAGCCAGGCCTGCTCAATAATTCTTAAACATATTACTATGTTAAAGTGTGCTTCCAGAACTCTCGAAGGGTAAGGTTTGTGTTCTCCTTCACCTCAAAGCAGCGCAAAAAAATGTGCTTGGTCTCATCATCATCATCATCTAGCCCCATTTTCACATCCATTGTTGGATATAGGCCTCCTCCAAACGTCTCCAGTTCTCTCTATCTCTAGCTGCTGCAATCCAGTTTGTTTTATATCCTCCTTAGGTCGTCTGTCCATCGGGTGGGTGGTCTGCCTCGACTTCGCTTGTCGGCCACGTCGGCCAAACCGTCTTGGTCTCCACTCCACTTCGCCTTTGTGTTACCCTCAGTTTTTTGGCAGTAGCTTTCGTTAAAGTAAGGGTCTCTGCTCCGTAGGTCAAGACTGGTAAGATGCATTGGTTAAATGCCTTCCTTTTCAGTTGAATTGGTATATTTGTTTTAAAAATGTGTCTCATTGTTCCATATGCCGCCCATCCCAACGTGATTCGTCTATTTAGCTCGCAGGTTTGGTTGTCTCTGGTTATTCTAATTTCATGACCCAAGTATGTGTATTTATTGATTAATTCTACCTTGTTGTTATTGATCTGTATCTCTTCGCTGGGAACCATATTGGTCATCATTTTGGTTTTCTCGAAATTTATCTCCAGCCCAGTTTCTTGTAGTATGTCATTCAGTTCTTGGAGCATGTCTTTGATCTCTCCGAGATTATCTGACAGAAACACGATATCGTCCGCAAAACGTAGATGGTTCAATCTTTCTCCATCGATGGATATTCCTTTCTGTTGCCATGTTAGTCTTTTAAATGCATACTCAAGAACGGTAATGAATAGCTTTGGTGACATGGTATCACCTTGCCTGACTCCCCTTTTTATCTTTATTTTATTAGTTGCAGACTGTAGACTTATGGTTGTTGTGGCATTTTCAGATATATTTTTAACTATATTACAATATCGTTGGTCGACCCTGCAATCTTGTAGTGCTCTTAAGATGGACGGTAGTTCCACTGTATCAAACGCCTTTTTAAAGTCTACAAATATCATTGCCAAGGGCCTGTTATATTCGTTAGTTTTTTCTATCAGGGTTTTTAGGTATAAAACTAGCCAAGTACAACAGTGCTTGGTATACAACTTCTTAAAATTAGAAATCACTTGCTGATCCATGGACAACAAGATAGGAGTGGTGTTGACTTCTAGGTAGAGAATATTTATAAACTTGAACATCTTTGAGATTTAGTAGGTGAGAAGGGGTATTATCGAGGGCAAGAAGGATTTGCAAAGTAGGTTGTTTTGCTGTAGATATTTTTCAACCGAAGAGGCAAACACCACATTTATCCATCCACGGAAAATGTCCATTCCGAATTTACATGACCAACAAACCTGATAAATATGGAATGAAAGTAATTATGATAAATAGTTCGAAATTTTATATGCTGAATGACATTCCATACGTTGGAAAAGTTGATGTTGAGAATAATGAGGTAGTTCCTACATATTATGTCAGAAAACTTTCCGAACCAATACACGGTACTCACCGTAACATAAAAATGGATAACTGGTTCACGCCAATATTCTAAGTGAACAAATGTTATAATAGTATCAGCTAACAATCATTGAAACGTTGCGAAAAAATAAACGGGAAATGCCTCCAAAGTTTACACAAAAAAAAAGAGGTAAGCACATCCATATTTGCTTTCGGCAGAAACAAAACGCTAGTTTCGTACACTCCAAAGGAAAATAAAGTTGGTACTACTTTTATCAACGTTGCATCCTGATTCATCACTTAATACTTTGACCGGAAAACCAAACCTTGTATATTTGTACAATGAAACAAAGGGTGGCACAGACACCTTTGATCAGATGTGCCACTCTTAACCGACTTCCCGTAAAACTATATGCTGGCCTCTCATAATGTTTTTCATCATATTTCATGCTAGAGGAATAAATGCTTCGGTTATATTTTCAATGGCAAATCCCCAATGGAAAGATTGTATGACTACAAGAGATGCTTTGTTCGGCTTGAATGTGCTGGCTCAGAGATGCATGGACATGAATCAGGATATGTACTTATGTTTTGTAGACTTGAAAAGGCATTTGATAAAGTTCAACATAAAAAGCTTGTAGATATATTAAAAAGCAAAAATATTGACAGTTGTGATCTGAAAATTTTATCTAATTTATATTGGAATCAAACTGCCAAGGTAAGAGTTGACAGCCAGTACACCGAAAATATCAAAATACAGAGAGGAGTCCGCCAGGTGCTGTCCCCACTACTTTTCAATGTCTACAGTGAAGCGGTATTCCAAGAAGCGCTCTCAGACTCAATAGAAGGTATATCTATCAATGGAGAAGTTTTGAATAACTTACGTTTTGCAGACGATACAGTAATAATTACGGATAACAACAATGATTTACAGAACCTAATGCAACGCCTTAATGAACGCTGTCATGAGTACGGACTGAAGATAAATTTAAAGAAAACTAAATGCATGATCATGACTAAATCTGCACATGCAAATATCCAATTGACTATTGAAGATACTGCAATTGAGAGTGTAATAACTATAAATACTTAGGAACATGGATAACATCAGATGTAGACCAAACCAAAGAAATTAAGACACGTATTGAAATAGCACGTACATCATTTATTAAACTTAAAAAATTTCTTTGTTATCGGGATATAAGGTTAGAACTACGCCTGAGAATGCTTCGATGTTACGTGTTCTCTACTCTTCTTTATGGTCTGGAAGCTTGGACACTAAAACAAGTTCATCTGAATAAGCTGGCCGCCTTTGAATTTTGGTGTTACAAAAGAATCCTACGAATATCATGGATTCAAAGAATGTCAAACATGGAAGTAACCAGAAGGATAGTAAATGAGGCGGAAATAATATTAACTATTAAAAGACGAAAACTTGAGTACTTGGGACATGTGATGAGAGGGCAAAAATACGCATTATTACAACTTATTATGCAGGGCAAAATCCGAGGAAAGCCAAATGTGAGAAGACGAAGAATATCCTGGCTTAAGAACTTAAGGGAATGGTTTGAATGCAGTAGTGCAGAACTTTTTAGAGCGGCAGTCAACAGAGTCCGCATAACCATGATGATTTCCAATCTTCGATAGAAGATGGAACTTAAAGAAGAAGAATGGAAAGATTACCGAAAACACATTCAAGATAAAAAAAAAAATTTTGAAAGAACTTTCAACTGCATAAATTGAACCGCGCTTAAGGGAAAGACTACAAGTTACCAATTTGCCAACAACCCTACTTGTAAAAATTATCGAAATATTATGAGTTAATGTACATCAAAGAGATAATTTTAATGTTAGTTTGCCTAAAAAGTTAGATGCTGCTTTTGTCCTCGTGGAAAGGATTGATAAACGAGTTGTGCTTGTTTGTTGTGCTACAAACCGTACTGTTTAGAACATCGAGCTCAATTATGTTATATGTGTCAGAACCAAACTTCAAGTGCCTGGCTAAAAGTAAGAAATAATTATCCTTTAACACCATTTATGTTTTATTTTAGTTTAAAAGGTTTTTAAGAGACAAATTTTATTTCACTGGAATTTGTTTAATTTTTTTGGTCAAAAGCACTAGTTTATTATTTTTTCACGTTTATCAGATCTAATGGGAAATGTTTTTTTTTTTAATAAACATATTTTGAAAATAAGATATTGTTGTTTGTTATTTTGTACTACATACCGCAGAAAAAAAAAATACATAACATTTATTACAAAAAAAAAATTAGGGTTTTCGAGACCTCACTGTGCAGTCTACGTTAGATGAACGAATTGTGCTGTTGTAGGGTTAAGAAATAGTTAAACTGAATAACAATAAACGAAGTATCGGAGATAGGACTGATGATATGTATGTAAACAGCCTTTTTTTAACTTTTAGCTGCTTTATTATTTAAATGATTGTTCGATGTTCTGAGTATGATGTTTGCAACATACTTATGTAAGCCCACATTTCGAAGGCTTCCATTTTTCTTTTATTTGGCGGCTTTTAAGGTCCATGCTTTAGAAGTACATACTTCCAATTTAATTCCAAACTTTTTTATTTTGTACCATAATTTTGTTAGCTGATTAAAACCTTAAAAATTAACAGACAGGAATGCAGTTTTTAAAATTTCGATAGCTTATACAAATATATCATTATATTGTTTTCTTGTGTACCGACAAAAAATAAATATTTAATTTTTTTTTCATTTACTTAATTTTTTAGTTTTAAATTTTACTTACTGCCTTTTTATTTTTAGTTACAATACGCTGCCAAATACGTCTTTGGCTATCGCATCAAAGACAACAAAGAAGGCAACGATTTTGGCCACGAAGAAAAACGGAGTGGACGAAGTGCCGAAGGAAGCTACCATGTTCTCTTGCCCGATGGACGAATGCAGAAGGTAGAATACTACGCAGATGATAATGGATATCACGCAAAAGTTACGTACGAAAATGTAGCTGAACATAAATAGACGTTAAATGGGGAGAGTAAATATTGTACTAATTTAGGGTTTCAATCTGTTAACGATGAACGAGCAAATGACAATTCTTCTAACGTTGAGCGTGCTTATTGAACTTGAGTTTTAGTGAGAATGTGTAGATATTATTAAGATTTTATGTCAGAACTAACCGTGGCATATTTATATCAGACAAGCTTAAGTAGACATCTTATATTTTGGAGGAAAAAGTAGCCTAAAACAATCAAAAAGAGTAAAATTTCTTAATTGTTTACTTAGTTACAGTGACAGTCAATTATTGTGAAGTTTCTTCGCGTTTATTTTGAAAAGATCTATTTTAGTGGCATTCTTTTAAAAAATCGTGGCAACGAAAAAGTGACGTGGGCTCTAGACGTCGATAGATTTATAAACAGACGTCATCTTGCGGATGAGTCTACTGACGTGTGGACAGGTACCGACTGCTCACGCTGAAACCCTTGGTTGCGTTCCGCAAAAACTAGCAACAGGCGTATTGGTGGCAGACGCAACTAGTGACGTTAAATACCTATCTCAAACGAGCAAAAAATGTACCAATCAGCGGAACGGTACATCCGCCGGTCGCCGACGGAGTGGCAAATAGGCCATTGAATGAATGCCGATGAAATGATCGCTTCTTTGGTCGTAGAAATTTGATAATATGAAGCAAAAATACGTCATTTCGAGAACCTTACCATGAAAAAAGTATCATGTATAGGTAATGGATTTTGACAAGAGCTTATTTTTCTTAAAGTGCCCTCTCCTCAATGGAGGTTGGCTACTACAATTTTAAACTCTTCTCTATCTTCAGCTGTTCTTATTATCTATTCAAAATTTAGCCCTGTCCATTGTCGGATGTTTCTGAGCCACGATAGTCTTTTCCTTCCTAGGCCTCTCTTTCCCTCGATTTTTCCTTTCACTATAAGTTGGGCATATTGGTACTTATTATTTCTCAGTATGTGGCCTAGTCTGGCCTGGTTCTAACTTTTACTGTGTTAAAAAGTTCTCTTTCCTTGCCTATTCTATGCAGCACTGCTTGGTTTGAGGTATGTGATGTCCATGAAATTTTGAGTATTCTCCGGTAGATCCACATTTCAAAGGCCTCCAATTTATTTACGGCTGATGTTTTAAGGGTCAACGTTTCAACTGCATATAGAAGAGTCGACCAGACGTAGCATTTTGATAAACGTAGTCGAATTTCGAGTTTTATTCGAGAATCACAAAGCAGTTTTTTTATTTTTTCGAAAGATTTTCTGGCCTGTTCTATTCTCGATCCTTATTTCTTCATCAGGATTTAGGCTGCTATCGATCCAACATCCCAGGTACTTAAATTTATTGACCTGTTCTAAGATGTGCCCATTTATTGTGCAAGGTTGAGGTACGTTTTGGTTTTTTCGGATTGACATCACTTTGGTTTTTTTAATGTTTATTTTCATACCAAATTGCTCACAGGTCGAGTTGGTCTTGTCGATGAGTCGTTGTAGACCTGAGTCGGAATCCGCAATTAACACTGTATCATCGGCGTATGTGATACTGTTGATATTTACGCCATTCACATTGACTCCATCCTTAGGAATCCTCCAATGCTTCTTTAAATAGAAACTCGGAGTAAAGATTAAACAGCAGACGCGACAGAACACATCCTTGTCTAACTCCCCTCCTAATTTCTACTTCTGCGGATGTGGAACCTTCGATCCTAACTCTGGCGTTTTGGTTCCAGTACAAGTTTTTTAAGAATTTGATGTCTTTTCCATCTAAACCGACTTCTTGCAAACGTTCTAATAGTAGGTCGTGTCTTACTCTATCAAATGCTTTTTCGAAGTCTATAAAGCATATAAATATATCTTTCTGTTGGTCGTAGCATTTTTGGGCGAGAACTAGTAAACTGAACAGGGCTTCTCTCGTTCCCATGCCGGTTCTGAATCCAAACTGATCGTCTCCGATGATTGTTTCGCACTTTCTATAGATACGATTATGTACGATTTTTAGTAGGACTTTTACTGCATGACTCATAAGGCTGATCAGACGGAACTCATTGCAATGTTATGGATTTGGCTTTTTTTGGTAGTGGGATGAATATTGACTTCAGCCAATCTTGGGGTATTTTACCTGTATCATAAATGCGATTGAATAAAAGGACAAATAATTCGATATTTTCTTCGCTGATTAATTTGAACGTTTCTGGGTATATTCCGTCTGGACCTGGGCTTTTATTTGTTTTGAGATGATTAATTGCATTTATGATTTCAGATTCCAGATTTGTTGGCCCTTCGTTGTTATTTTCCCATCTTGGTTCTTCTCGTATGTCGTGAAAAAGAATTTTAATATATGTTTTCCCATTCTTTCAGTTTATCTTCCGTTGATTCTAGCAGTTTGTCATCCATGTTCAGCATGGTGTGAAAAGTCGTTCTCTTGGTAGTCGATGTAAACTCTTTTACCTTTTTATGTAAATTAAAAAAATCGTGCCTTTGTTGCAGTTCTTCTATTTCAACGCATTTTGTTTCCAGCCATTTCTCTTTTGCTTCGGTTATTATTATTATTTTTTTTTTTTTTTCGAGTTAGACAAGTTAGACAAGAGCTATGACCTTGTAAATAACAGGTAAACCTGTGTACTGCATGGGCATGACTCATAGCTCTTGTCAAAATTCATTACCTCTATATGCCCTAACTTTATGAACTGCTAATTCATTCTAGTGTCTCCACCTTTAGATTTTATTTCCATGTCAATCTTTATAGTGATATTTGTTTTATTTTCTACTTGCACATTTTCTTAGATGATATAACATCGTAATTATAGCTAAATAAAGAATAAATGAAAGTCTAACTAATGGTTCATCATCATCAATTAGCCAATCGCGTCCACTGCTGGACATAGGCCTCCCTCAGTTCTTTCCAGTGTTCTCTACACTGGGCCGCTTGTAGCCAGTTTCCCGCTACACGTTTAATGTCATCGATCCATCTAGTCGGTGGTCGTCCTCGGCTTCTTTTATAATTTCTGGGCCTTCATTCCATAATACGTCTTGTCCACCGTCCATCTTGTGTTCTGGCTAAGTGCCCTGCCCAGTTTCACTTAAGCGTCGTGGTTCTTTCGATGACGTCTTGAACTCCTGATCTTCGCCTGATTTGTTGGTTTGTTATGTGGTCTCGAAGGCTCACATTCAGCATTGCACGTTCCATTGCTCGTTGTGTAACTCTAAGTTTATTCGCAGATTTTTGCGTGAGTGTTAAAGTCTCTACTCCATAAGTTTGTACAGGTAAAACACATTGGTTATAAACCTTTCGCTTGAGACACATGGGAATTGAACTTTTTAGAATATGGCTTAATTTGCCAAATGCTGCCCATGTTAGACCTATTCGCCTCTGTATTTCATGTGTTTGATTGTCTCTGCTTATTTTGATTTCGTGTCCCAGATATTTGTAAGTGTCTGTTTGTTGTATGGTATTATTGTCAATAGTTATATTTCCACTCATTACGAGATTTGTTATAATTTTAGTTTTCTCAAAGTTTATCTTTAATCCCGCTCTTTCAGACAGACTTTTAAGCGAATGCATCAGAAACTGTATCATGTAAGTTATCTGCGATTAATACAACATTATCTGCAAACCTTAGGTGATTTAATCTTTCTCCATCTATATTGATGCCCATATCTTGCCATTGAGTACCCTTAAATATTGACTCTAGAGCTGCCGTGAACAATTTTGGTGAAATATTGTCTCCTTGTCTAACTCCTCGACCTAAGCTGAATTTTTCTGTGTCTTCGTGCAGTCGTATACTTGATGTAGCGTTCTGATAGATGCTTTTGATTAGTGTCGTGTACCTGTAATCTATTCGGCTTTGATTTAGTGCTTCCAGTATTGTTTCAAACTCTACAGAATCAAAAGCCTTCTCGTAATCGACAAATGCAAGAACCAGTGGTATGTTGTACTCGATGCACTTTTCTATTAAGATCTTTATGGTATGCAAATGGTCATTTGTGCCATATCCTGCCCTGAAGCCTGCCTGTTCTTTGGGCTGATAGAAATCAAGTTTAGGTGTTAGCCTCTTTGTCTACAACTAATTGTTGATTAAAAAAAAAGTCTATTTTAGACTTTACATATAGTATTAGCGAATAGTTATACAACATTGATCACACAAAGAATGCGAACATTTAATGGTATTGTTATCTATCTGAACTAGAAAATATCTATGAAAAGAAGGTGATAGAAGAACAGGTAACTGTTAGGAGTCTCGGTGATCAAATGAATAAATGAAAGTCTAACTAATGGTTGATTAAAAAAAAAGTCTATTTTAGACTTTACATATAGTATTAGCGAATAGTTTTACAACATTGATCACACAAAGAATGCGAACATTTAATGGTATTGTTATCTATCTGAACTACAAAATATCTATGAAAAGAAGGTGATAGAAGAACAGGTAACTGTTAGGAGTCTCGGTGATCAAATACATAGTTGGACAGATATTTGAACAGGATTAGTGCTTCACATTAGCCTCTGCCGTCTTCCAAAATGCTAATATGTCAGTAATACGATATCAATAGTAAATACCTCAAGGCATTTACATAAGTTCATACGTAGTCCCCTAAGATAAATACTATATTTGAGCGTGATGCAAAGTATGGGAAGCCAACATGTAGAGAATATTTTACAACAGTAAGCAGTTTTTATCAGCCATCTCAGAATTAGCACTTGCCGAGATCAGTGAGGGCCTTATAATAAACGGTGAGCCACTTAATAACATAAAGATATGCTGACGACACCGTCCTTCTGGCAGGAACACTAGAAGAACTGCAACACCTTGCTGAACAACTAAATATATATTGCAACGATTATGGACTAAAAATCAATTTGAAGAAAACCAAGTTCATGGTATTTACAAATGCACAAAACATCAAAGTTAAGCTAGTACTAGATAATACAGAAATTGAACAAATATCTTCGTACAAATACCTTGGAGCATGGATCACAGAAGATACTGATCAGACAAAAGAAATAAGATGCCGCATTGAAATTCCGCGGTCAATTTTAATAGAAAGAGAAAACTTTTTTGTAATGGCGATATCAATATAACGCTCCGGATAAGAATGCTTCGATGTTATATTTTCTCTACCCTTTTGTATAGAGTTGAAGCTTGGACACTTAAAAAATCCAACATTAAAAACCTAGAAGCATTGGAAATGTGGTGTTACCGACGTATTTTGAAAATATCATGGATTGATCGCAAAACAAACGAACAAGTTCTCGAACAACTAGGAAAACAATGCGAAGTTTTAAATTCCATAAAAATCAGGAAATTGGAATACTTGGGGCACATAATGGGAGGTGAAAAGTACGAACTACTAAGGAATATAATGCAGGGTAAAATCAAAGGTAGAAGAAGCGTAGGAAGACGTAAACTCTCGTGGCTACGCAATCTCCGTGAATGGTTTGGATGCAGTTCAATTGAACTATTCAGGCGAGTAACCAATAAAATTATAATTGCCAGAATGATTTCCAATCTCCGATAGGAGTGGAACTTGAAGAAGAAGAAGAAGAAGCAGTTTTTAACAGCATAACTGATACATGGAAAGAGAAACACGATTGCAAATACCTCCTATTATTGTAGGTTTTCTTTTTTTTATATTTATGTCACTTTTCATCGTGCAAGCCATTTTTCCTTGGTACGTTACTATTTACATCACAAATAATCCTACCTTATTTTACCTCTAATATGTCTTGTCCTTTTCCGTCTGTCTACTCTTATTGTTAAGGCACTATTTCTCACAATGGTTTTTACTTAAGCATAGTATATTATCGCGAAATGCAAACACTGGTAAAATCGTATCCTGTTGATGCTGATCGATAGGTTTTTAAGAATACGCATGACCGTTGATCATAGAATTTGATCAGTCTTTAACGTAGCAATGTAAATGATCATCTTTTTGTTTTATAGATTAACCACGCGGGGAAGTGCAATATTGTATTATTATAAGTTAGATATATTGACTGAATCCCAAAAATGTATTAAATGAAGTTTTATATATTTATTTATAATTGTTATTTATATGTTTATTTCCTATTGTTTTTTTTTGTTAAAAATAAATTTTAAATAGGTACGATTTTTATGTTATTATTTTTATGAAACACTGAAAAGTCAGACAAATCCTAGCAAAGCGTATAGCTTAACCAGGTATAAAGAATATTTTTAATTTTTTTAGATATACTAAATTTATTTTATATCCACACAACAATAATAAATTGAAGTTTTGCCAAATAACAATTGAAGCACAAAAATAGGTTTGTTTCGATTGGAAAAAAGATAAAATATATCTTATATATAATATATAAGATATAATATTTAACAAGCGAGTCTTTTACAGCTGGTGCCGCTTCTCGCATCCTAATTTCCAGCGTTTTCTGTCGAAGCAATCTTCAGTTGTTAGATCTCTGGCGGTCATTGCATCTTCGACATCGTCTCTATAGGATTGTCTTGGTCTACCTCGTTTTCTTCTAGTTGGCGGAGTCCATTTTTCTATTTTTTTTTTTTGCCATCTAGTTTCTGGCATTCTCTGAAGGTGTTCATACCAGTTAAGGCTTTTGGCTTCGATTGTGTCTATTATGTCTAGATCGACTTTCATTTCTCTCCGAATATCTTCGTTTTTCACCCTATCAAGTCTAGTGAGCTGGCAACATCGTCTCCAGTAGTTCATTTCCATGACCTTAATTTTTGATTGGTTTCTTTGGTTTATTTCTCAGAGTTCGGCGCCGTACAGTCCAATATTTTCTGTTATTGTTTTATAAATTCTTCTTTTATTTTCATTTGTTATTTTTTTATTCCATAATAGTCCATGTAGCTGTCTAGTGGCTGATCTTGCTTGGCCAATACTGGAATGTATTTCTTCGCTACTTCCTGCTTTTGATGTTATTTGAACTCCCAAGTATTGGGAGTCTGTTGATGTTATAGTTCCCATTTTGATTTGTGGGCTTTCTGGTTTTTCTCCTACAACTGAGTACTCAGTTTTTATTTGGTGTACTCATCTTCCAGTTTTCTAAGCATGTAGCCTACATCACTCTCGTCTTCAGCTAGAATGGCTTGGTCGTCAGCGAAGTGTATCGTGTACAATATATCATCTCCGAGTGGGATGCTCATATTGCAGCACTTTCTTCTCCACAGTGAGAGTGCCTCATTTAGATATATTTTGAAGAGTGTAGGTGCTATGCAGCAGCCTTGCTTTAGGCCTTTACTAATAGGAATTTCTCTAGTTAATCTGTTTCCAGTAGGGATGTGTAGTTCACCATCGAAGTAGTTCTAATGAACGATTCTTTCAACTGAACTAATTGAACTAGTTCATTAATTTTCATAGAACTAGTTCACTGCGAACGATTTACATTATAAATTATGTCTCGACTTCTAAAGAAGAAAATAATGAATGAATGGATTAGAACATATATTTATTATTTTGTGAATGGATGGACTAACTAGATTAAAAAAAATGCCGATTAGCCTCAGATAACAGATTCATAATTCTTATGAATGTGACAATACCATAAGGTCTTATCTTAATTTGTCGGTTTGGATCTTATGCCCATGTATTGGCTTGGATGTTGCCATGCTGTGTTGTTTCTTGTATTCTAATTTTGCAATAAAAATTTTAGTTGTGGTTAAAATGATTGAGGCATTTACATAAAATATAATTTTATGTAGAAGTGAGAATGAAAATGTGTTATTTAATGTTCCTAGAAAATTCACTGATTTTTTTTGTAAAGGTTCTTTTAGAAATAACCTAATTATAAATACCTATTAGTTTAAATATACCTAAATATAAAAATAAATCATACTTGAACCATATTTATATTTAAAACGGTTAATAAAAAACAAATCTTAATAATTTTTTGCAAATAAAAACTAACTAATCATATAATAATTTAAACCATTTAAACCTAAACATACGATCGAAAGCAATAGTTCCGAACTACTTGTACGGTAGTGAACTAGTGAAAGACTGACTGAAAGAAAGAAATAGTTCCGAACTACTTGTACGGTAGTGAACTAGTGAAAGAATGACTGAAAACCGAAGTAAACGGGCGGCCAGCGCCGAGCTTGTGTTATGATTGAGAAGAGACATCTGGCAACCAGTTCTGTTAGTCTTTTCTGTTTGTTCTCAGATTTTTTACCGTTTTCCATGCTTCTCTTGATCTTGTTGACCCTATATATTTGTTGAGTTCTTCGCATTTACTTTCCCAGGAAATATTTTTTGCTTTGGTTACTAAATTTTTTACTTCTCTGTTTGATCTTGCATATGTTCATCTATTATCTGAATCATTTGTTTGCAGTCACTTCTCATACGCTTGTTTCTTGTTGTGTACTGCATTGGCGATGTCATTTGTCCACCACAATGGAGTATTCTTTTTGTTTTTTTGGATTGTGCCGAGCGCTTCGTAAGCTGCTTCATTGATTTTATTGATTTTCTCTTTATAGGTATTCTGGGCTGAGGAGTAGATCAGGTTTGCCAATTTTTGGCTAAGTCGCAGCTTATATAAGCATGATGTCGAGTCTTTTTGCAGTGCATCAAAATTGTATTTAGGTAAATTCGATTCCAGGGGTTTTGATTGAGCTAGTTGGTTGGCATTTTGATATAGTAGCTGAGGTCGATACTGTAGGTAACATTTTGATCTTACCATATAGTGGTCAGTTCCGCACTCCGGTCCTCTTAATACTCTTATGTCTTCAACTTGTATGTGTGTTTCTTGTTTTGTGATGACATAATCTATAATTGACTTTGTTTTTTTCGTTGGTTGAACCCAGATGTATTTATGTATGTTTTTATGTCGGCAGAATATTTTCAGAGAGTGCTGTTCACAGAACTCGATTAAGTGTTTCCCATTTTCATTTGTTTTAGCGTCACCATATTTTCCTACGACTTTATCATTTGTTTTTGTTCCTGTCCAAGCGTTAAAATCTCCCAACAACACAATTTCTTGCGGCTATTTATATTTTCAATGAGTTCCGATAAAGTTTCGTAGAATATTTGTTTATCTGCTTTTGATGCATTTTCTGACGGAGCATATATTCCAATGATCTCGAAGTCGTCCCTTTCCACGTAATAGATACTCTAATAATTCTCTCATTGATCTGCTCCCAGCTTTTCAGGTTTCCTTTTAAGTCTTTTTTATCAATATTGATACCCTGCTTGTGCTCTTTCGTCTTTCTCTACTCCACTATAAATATATATAAAATCTCCTATGTCTTCACTACCTTGGCCTTTTTTCTTTGTTTCGGTAAGAACCGTGATATCTGATTTTATTTTCTTTACTTCTGCCATGACTTCGTCTGACTTGATTCTCCACCCTTGGATATTCCATGTATTTATATTCCAAGTTCTTGTTCGTTTGCTACCTCGTCTTCGTTTTCTCCCGTCCGTATTCCGAGGCTGGATTTTAGAATTTTTGCGGTAAGTTTTTCACGGGTGTAGAGGAGCTTTTAATTGTAACTATACCTGTAAATGTCTGTAAATTCTCTAGAACACTAGAAAAAAAGAAATGTCTCCTTAAATTGTTAATTGTGACTTCAATAAGAAACCCACCACACCTTTAGTAGCAACAACGAAAGGGCAAAGCCAAGTATCTACCTCTTTCTACAATTTGTATCTACCGAATTTGTGCAATTATGTCATGCATCTACATATTATTTCTTGGAAAATTGTTTTAAGGTGTAGAAAATGGGATACATTGTATTTTAATATAAAACAACATTAAGTAAAATAAATATTTATTCATGGACTAGAATGAAAACATAATTACAAATATTGATAGTATCAATACTTACTGATTTACATATTTACAAAAGCTTTAAAATAATTTTGGTATACATTTAAAATTATATACAATTTCTTACATTTTTACAATTTTTTTGGTAATTTTATCACAAACTTTTTAAGAAAAAATACCTAAAACCTAGTCAAGCATCAGTAATAATGATAGAAGTAGAATGGAAAGTGATGCTGAAATCTGGATTATTGAAGCAGTACCTGAAAAAGAAAATACACTGTACAATATGATTAAAAAATATTGGGTTACAGTTTTTAAACTTTTGAAAAATATGCCGATACACTACTGTTTATCAATAAAGATGCATTGTTAGTTTTACTCCTATAACCCTACTAATTATTACATGTACACTACATTTACATTGTACCAAAGTAATACTGCTTTACTACTTTATAATCTCCATTTTTTTATTGGCAGACATATGTTTAACACTTTATTTGACTTAAAATCTTCTAGCTACCTCTTCTTGGGTGTATAATGCACTGATTATTTCAATTGTCGATATTTTTTTATTTTTCGAGCAATTTTTCTCAACGCCTATCATCATCATCATTATTAACTTGTACATGAGCACATCTGGACATAGGTCTCTCCCACTCTTTTAATATAACAAACATATTAATTCTACAATCCATACCAACTACTTCAACTTCACCTCTCCCCTAAACCCACACTTTCCAAAACCACACCCACTTTCCAAAATTCTCCTCCAATTTCCCCCTATTACAAAACAACCCCCAACACCTCCCACAACTTTCACAACTACACCAAACCCAACCACTCCACAAACCCCCCCAACCTAAAAACAACACCCACCCAAACCCCCCCATATCCCCACCCCACCAACACACCCCAACTCCCAACCAACCACAACTATTCCACCCACCCAACATAAACATATCAAACCCTACCTTCCCCACTTATTATCCCAAACCCCCCCCTCCATTCCACCCCACTTTTTATCAAAAATTAAAACTAAATACCCAAAAACAACCATAAAAATACCCAATCCCTACTAACTTCCCTCTATTATTAAAACCCCCATTTTCTCAAATTCCCTTTAACCACATTACACCCCCACAACAACCAGCCAAATAACACAACCCAACAACCCAAAACAACACCAAAACAACACAATTATCAACAACAACATTAACTAACTTATACTTCATAATTCCAAACCATAATTCCACAAACCCATCACCTCATCATCCACTACACCTCACCTAATATTAAAACAAAACCACCAATAACAAAAATTACCTCATCATTATAATACTACAAACTTTTACCAACCTCTACCCAAAGACTAATACAATCAAACACTCCATTATCATTTAGAAACGGTGCATCTAAACCAACCTAGACCCAAAAAATTCAAATATAAATGTATATGAACGACACAACACACACCACTGGTTCCACATATATTTCCCATTTTCCTAGAACATCCATGATCGTGTTCCTTGCTGTTCCATGTATATTCTCAGCATTCTTCTATAAAGCCACATCTCAAATGCTTCAAGTTTTTTAATAGTGGCGTCTGTAAGCGTCCATGCCTCCGCCCCGTACAACAACACAGAGAAAACATAGCATCTCAAATGTCTCATTTTTGTATCAAGGGATATGTTGTGACTTTTGAAGATGGCGCTCATTTTGTTAAAGACCGTTCTTGCCTTTCCTATGCGGCACTTTATTTCCTGTAAATTGCTCCACTGTTCGTTAATAATAGTTCCCAGGTAACAATACTGTTTTACTCGCTCTATCTGCGTCCCATTAATATATAGATGAGCCCCGTTTATATTCTCCTTGTGCAGAAGGGGCAAAAATAATTATATTAAAAACATATGTGTACAACTAGAGGAACATGCTGACCGCCAAGAACCTAGAGAACTTTTCTCAAAAGTCAAGTATCTAGCAAGAGAATTCAAACCGCAAAGATCATCAAAGATAATAGTAGAAATATCATAAAAAACCCAGACGGCCTCGCAGAGGTCTGGAAACAATATTGCGAGATACTATTTTCTAACAACGACCGAGACAATAATACAGAGAAAATAAGTTATGAAAAAGAACCTCAAATATTGAAATCAGAAATTGAGGTGGCAATTAAAAGGCTAAAATCCAGAAAAGCAGAAGGAATAACAGCTGAAACACTAAAAGAAATAGGAGAATTAGGGATGGAAGTAATGCTTAGAATTTGCAATGGGATTTGGAATAGCGAAAAGTAGACAAATGACTGGGGTAAACTTGCGTTTATTCCCATATATAAAAAAAGGTTTACCGACAGCTGATTGCAGTAATTACCACACAGTAGCATTGATATCACACGCGAGCAAAGAACTTCTAACCATCATTAATGAAAGACTAAAATTAATTCCCTTACCAAAAATTCCCCAAGAACAATGCGGATTCGTCCCAGGTAGAGAAAAAAGAGAATATATTCTTAATATTCGTCAAATTATCGAAAAAAGCCTTCGATACCGTAAAATGTAATAAAATGTGGCACACACTTAGTGAAATGAGTACTGCAGAACATCTTATCTATTTATTACAAAAACTATAGGTAAATAATACCTGCTAATGTAAGAGTTAATAATGTGATTTCGAAAAACATCAAATTAAAATCTGGAGTTCGACAGGGATGCATAATATGCTCTATTCTATTCAATGTGTATAGTGAACATATGCGTCAAGTTGTTGAGGAAAGTGGCAAGGTAAGGTGAAGCAACGATAGGAAGAAGAAAAATTAAAAGCCTGCGTTATGCTGATGACACTGTTATCGTCATCACCAGAAGAACTGGAACAAATTATGAATAGGCTGGGCACGGTGAGTACGGAATATAGTTTGAAAATAAATATGCAGAAAAGCAAAGTGATGATCATCGATAGAATCAGAAACAACCAAGCATAGATAAAAAACATGGCAGATAACGAAGTAGTCAGCCAATTTAATTACTTAGGCTTGTTTATTACTAACAGTGGAGAATGCGAAGACGAGATCCGTCGACGCATCACAATGGCCAAATCGGCAACAGCTAAACTCACAAAAATTTGGAAGAACACTGGCATCACAAAAAATACAAAATTACGCCTTGTTCGAGCATTGATATTTCCTATCGCCACCTATGCTTTAGAAACTTATTACAACAATAACAAAATAACGACATAATATTACGACAATAACAAAAGCCGATTCAAAGCGTATAATGGCCTTTGAAATGTGGGTCTACCGTAGAATGTTGCGCATACCATGGACCGCTTATCGCACAAATAACTTAATTCTAGAAGAACTTAACATAAAATTAGACTCATCACAACTATCAACCCAAATATACTGAGATGTTTTGGACATATAACTAGAAGAAGAGAAGGCATACAGCAAATGATAGTTGAAAGTAACGTAGGGGGTAAAAGATCCAGAGGAAGATCTCCAGTACGATGGTCGAACCAAATAAAAGAGATGACTGGTTATTCATTCTCCGAAGCAAAACAACACGCACAGGAAAGAGATAATTGGACAAAAATATTTAATAAAATTACATGACGCTACTATATCCTTACGAAGGAGAAAAGATTGAGGAGGATTCTTACCTCACAAATTCACGAACAACAAATAATACCAATCGCACAGAATGAATGTTCATAACCAAAAGTCGTTATTTATTCTACAAACAATTAAAATACCAATATTTCCAACTTCTTGTGTGACCAATAAACTCAAATTAGAAATGTTTGGAAAGGTTTTTAAAAATCCCGCTCATTCTGACGTCAGACTTAGGTGGTCCATTCTAGGCTAAATATGGTTGTCGAGTTGTTAGGGAAATCTAGGGAAATTTTGGCAAAAATTCTAGGAAATTAAAAAAAAATCATCTGGCAACCCTGCTCAGCTCGCCAGTCCATCTAGTTGGTGGGCGTCCTCTGTTTCGTAGTGCTTCTTGTCATGGCCTTTACTCGAAAATATGTTTTATAAATCGGTTGTCTGATAACCGGGCAACGTGTCCTGTCCAATTCCACTTTAGCGTCGTGACTTTTTCGATAGCGTCTGTTATTTTTGTTCTACGACTTATTTCTTCTTTTGGAATTCGATCCTCGATGTAACACCCAACATCTGGCAGCTCCATAGCCCTCTAAGTCACGCGAATCTTGTGTACTACCTTTTTTGTGAGTGTTAATGTTTCTGCTTCATAAGTAAAAACAGATAACAAGGTAACAGGTAATCTAGCTTATATTTACTAAACTTGGGACCATTATTAGCTCTTTCATTGGTCTGTTATTAAATTTCTGAGAATCATATTTGAACTCGAACATCGAAGTGAAAAAAACTTCTGTTATAGGTCTTCTTCTTTTTATATAGACACTACTGTGCTTGTTTTTTTTTCAATGTGCCTCTTCTCTATATTCTTCTTTATATTCTTCAATTCTTGTATATCTGCAAGAAGTAAAAAATGGAACAAAGCAGCCGTATGTGACAGAAACATTCCAATGAATCCGGAAAGGGTAAATAAAAAAATATCAAAGAGAAATTCATGATGCTGAAATAAAAATGCTTGTGATAAATTATTTTTATCTCAATATACAGATATAAATGATCATCAGAATGCTTTTTTGTGCATTTATTTAGCATAAATGAGCGTTTTGTATACGCCTGTTTAACAACAATCCTTGCACTGGCATGTAAGTACTATTTATATACTTCCTCAAACCATACATAAGTAATATTAGCACTTTTTGAAACAAACCTGATAGAACTCTTTTAGTTATGATATGTAATTGTTTCAGCATATTAATTTAACTTGTCCGAAGACCTAAAGATTACCATAAAATTGCAGTGATGAAACCGGTCATCCTATACTAAACAAAATAGATTGTAAATCTAAAATTTATTTCTACAAACCTATTTGACTCTCATCTGCAACCAATTCATTTTTTGTAACCATCTACATTAATTTTGATACTTAATTATTTGTCTCTTCTATCGACTTACTATTTGAATTTTTCTAACTACTAGGTGGTGGTGGGAATATATTTTATTTTCACGATATACTAAATTTCTTCTACTTGGTTTTGTAATTTTTTATTTACTATTATCTAGTCTAATCAAATACTCTATGTCTTTTATTATTATCTTTATGTCTAAAGAACATATCAATATTCTTGTTGTTGCCTTTAAAAGATAATGAACGTATTTCGTTTAAAATACTTTAGAATTAGTTCAAATTAGCAAAACAAGTACCTGCAATAAAATCTACTTATTCAAAAAATTTAGTATATATTTAGAAAATTAGATAGTTTTCTGTTTACAACATGTTAAAAGTCTGAAAGCACCTTATTAATAGAATCCTGATAGACACGTAACTCGGTTTTTAGTTTCTTCTACCGATTTCGTTAATATTTTAAACCAGCAAAAAATTAATTTTTAATAAAATTACCACCAATATTTATAACAAAAGAAAATACATATGTATGTCTGTTATCTAAATAGCGAAAAAGTAAATGAAAAACGAAATAGAGTATACAATCCTGCATACAAGAAGTCGGAAAAGGGTAGTGTTTTTAAAATTATTAGAAGAGAAAGAAGGATGATTAATACTTATAAAAAAAAGCAAATGGTAGAAAAATCAAAGCTAAATAATCGAATAATGGAGTAATAGAAATCAGAAAACAAAAAAGATTTAAAAAAAATATATCATCATTATAATGATGATGATAATGATAATGGTGACATTACAAACCAATCAAAAAATGTAAGTATTGTTAAAGCGGTTAGAAAAATTTAAGCAATGTAACTAGTGTTTAAAAAATTTAATTCAAAAAGACATCAGGCTAAGTGTACACCTACATTGGAACTGTATTTCTCCCGATCCGATATCGGGCGACGTCGGATTGAAAACAAACTCAAGGTATTAAATGATAGTGCCTATACTGCTTCGTCATGGAAGTCCGGAAATTATCTCGTAAAATGCTAATCATAATTGTAAAAAATTTAAGGTAGGTACAGCTATTTTGGGATACGGAGATTCCATATTTGATATTTACAATGTTGCCAGATTTGCCGTTTTTCTTATATTATTAGTAACTTTTGGAATCTCCTATTCAATACGAGTTCAACCATATGTAACACTTATGATTTTACGTAATTTGGAAGGTCACAAATACATAAAACAGAAGTCTGGCAACGCCTAAATTGTTTCAATAAATTTTTTAATACTAACTATTTTCAAATACATTAAAACGTAACAATTGATAGTTTAGAACATATTTTAACATAGTAGTTACGTTATTAAGTGTTCAAAATGTGCTCAATTTGTGAGTTGACAGCACCGTAATCGATGGTAGAAGGGGCCTACCACATTTCTCCATGATTGTCTAGAAATTATTCGAGATTCATTGATAATTCGTTGTCTTATCTCTGCAAGACTTGCTGGTTAAGTTTTGTAAACTGAATTTTTCAAGTATCCCTAATAAAAATAATCTTTAGGATTGAAATCGGGTGAACGTGGAGGCCATTCAATTCTACCTTGTCTACCAATTTATCGTCCAGGAAATATCTTATCTAAATATCGCCGAACATTTACAACAACTATCTGACGTTAAATTTCTTTCGACAAAAAATGACCCAATTGAATAAGTAACTACTATATCTGACCATACATTTAATTTTTGTAGTCATTGAGTATGGTTTTCACGCATTCAGTCTTCAGTGTGAATTTACGTCACACCAGTACCTTAAATTGTGTCGATTTACACTTCCACACAGTGTAAAAGTTGCTTCATCGGAAAAACATATTCTGTTAACGAAAATTTAATAATTTTCAATTTTATCCATCATTACCTCAGTAAACTCTAAACTACCACCAAAGTCATCTTCACTTCATTCTTGCAATAAGTTAATTTTGTATGATTTAAATTTATTTTTACGTAATAAACGTAAGACTGAAGAATGACCTACATCATGTACTTGTGCAACCCTGCCTGGGGATGTATGTGGATCTTCAACAAAACTTTGCTTATATCTGAAATTTTGTTGTCATTGATAACTCGTTTCGGTTAACCTGATCGGTATCTATCTTTTACTTCTCCAGATTTCTCAAATCGCCTTACAGTTTTTTGTACCGTAGTCTAATGAATAGGAGAACGGTTTAGAGAACGGCATTTTAGAGAAGCAATTTAAATTGCAGAACTTTTTGAACCACAACTACTGTCAATTTTAGTTCATAATTTAAACGGTGAACAAATGTCAAAATCACAGCATTCTCCATTTAAATATTTAAATTTATTAAAATCTACATATTTTGCACTGTTTTATGTATTTAAGATCTTTCAGACTACATAAAATCAAGTGAACATATGGTTGAACTCGTATTGAATAGCTGAACTCGTGTGAAATTCACACTGAATGCGTGAAAACCATACTCAAAGACCACAAAAATTAAATGTATGGTCAGTTATAGTAGGTACTTATTTAATTGGGCCATTTTTTATCGAAAGAAATTTAACGTCAGATAGTTGGTGTAAATGTTCGGCGTTATTTGGATGAGATATTTCCAGGACGATAAATTGGTAGACAAGGTAGAATTGAATGGCCTCCACGTTCACCCGATCTCAATCCTAAAGATTATTTTTATTAGAGATACTTGAAAAATTCAGTTTACAAAACTTAACCAGCAAGTCTTGCTTAGCTAAGGCAATGAATTATCGATGAATCTCGAATAATTTCTAGACAATCATGGAGAAATGTGGTAGGCCCCTTCTACCATCGATTAGAGTGCTGTCAACTCACAAATGGAGCACATTTTGAACACTTAATAACGTAACTATTATGTTAAAAAATATTCTAAACTATCAATTGTTACGTTTTAATGTATTTGAAAATAGTTATTCTTTGTTTCACGTTAAGAAAATAACATTACGCTTATGGAGATCAGTGTTGCCAAAACTCTCAGACACTCTCTTTTGCACGGATGTCCAAGATATTCCCTTTGCTTAATTTTTGAATTTTCATTTTCAATTAATATTTAACTGTAAAGTCAGAATAACTACTAAATAAAAGCGTATAAAAGCCTTATTATCATTATGTAGTCAGAGACGACATAAAATAACTGACATACGCACATCGTATTATTTTAAGTTGCAATTAGTAATTAGATATACGCATTCCAAGCGGTCAATATTTTCTACTGATTTATATGATTCATGGCATATCGTATTCTCACCGAAAAACAAATAAACTGTCGTTACTATAATTAAAATAAGATAAAATAAAATTATCTTTTGTAAATACTATTTATCTAATTAAAATCATTTTCCCTACTTTTCATCTCTTGTTTCGAATGGGCACTTTTGGTCAATTACGTTAAAAAACATTAATTTAATTCATGTTTGTGGAAACGAAAATACAAATTATACAACCCTAAATTGTGCTTGTGTGTGTCGTGGCAACGCCGCGTTGCTATCGTCCATAAGAAATACATGGCCCTATCTTCGCAATGTTATTTTCTAAACGTGGAACGTAGTATTAAAAAATGTATTGAAACAATTTAGGCCAGACTTCTGTTTTATGTATTTAAGACCTTCCAGACTACATAAAATCCTAAGTGTTACATATGGTTGAACTCGTATTTAATAGGAGATTCCAATAATGACTGAATATACAGGGTGATGCATTTGAAAAACCAAAGTTACTAGTAATATAAGAGAAACTGAAAATCTGGCAACATTGCAAATACCAAATATGGAATCTCCGTATCCCAAAATAGGCGTATCTCAAATTTTGTATAATTATGTCTAGTAATTTACGAGATAATTAGCCGTTTCCAGACTTTTGGGCCACTCTGTATAATGCAGTTGTAATTAAAAGCATTATTTTTCTAGCATATCTTCTTTACTACAGATATATTTAATTAAAGTATTCATTTTCTCTCAACTTAGAGACAAATCAAAAATGTACTAAAAAAATAGAAACTCATAATGTTCACTAGAATTAAATAAATAAAGACAATGAATGCATAGATGAGCACACATACAAAGACAAACACAGTGTTAATAAATCAAGAAGAATACTGAAGAAAGATGGGCTGAGTGACCTATTTACATGTTAATACAATTAATTGCTACTGGCAGTCCATAATTCTAGTAAATTTATTTACATACACCTCAATATATAAAAAACAGTATATTATCTTAACAGCTCTTAGTGATCGATTTTATTTTACAACACTTAAAATGACCTCTTGCATTTAAAAATTGTCTTTATTTTTGCTTCATTATATCGAAATATTTCTGTATATATTACTAAATAAATAAATTATGTTCACCATGCTTGTTAAATGTCCAAGAAGTTATTTCAAACTATATCTGACTCATTCTCATCTCTTGTTTTGTAATTTAAAAAGAAATTAATAAAACTATTTTGATAATTTACTAACTAATTACCAATTACTGTATTAGTCATGAAAATTATTAATGGAAATGATTAATTAAAAGATGGATTAGTTATTATGCAAGCAGAACAGGTCTATCAGGATTCTGTAATAGAACACAACGAAGCAATTAAAGGAAAACAACAGTACTAAACAACAAACGATTTTTCTCAGTACCTCGATGAGTAGTGTTGACAATTTCCTCTGCAATTTCAATCCTTGTCATTGTCATATTAGTTAAGTCTTCTGCTACTGTTACGTTTGTCAAAGGTTCCTCATCTGTCCAAAATATACAAAATATTAGAAAGTTTTTTCTTAATTTTGAAAACCAAATAACATTTACATTAACTTTGACAAACAAATAATGCATGCAAGTCTAACCTGAAAATGTGGTTTATACCTAAAATAACTTTTAACAAAATATAGTAATAATATTTTTTCTGTTTAAAAGTAGTTAAAATGGCCCAAACAATGTTCTATCTAAGAAAGGAACATTAAAATAATGTCATATAACACTTGTCTTGCTGCCAAAACAATTTCCCTTTAGTAGCATAGTTAATCTATGAAAATATGATTTTTCACAGGGGTTAACAAAATTCTTTCCAATTTTCTTCATTACTTTGTTATACCACGAATATATCGATAAATCCTGCTGTGCGTATATTAACCAGAAAAGATTAAACACAAGAGTTGAGTAAGTGAAAGCGACAGTTGCTAGAAAGATTACGCAGATAAAATAAAACATAGAATAAAACTATATGAATATAAAAACAACTATTTCGGGGAAAAGAATACCAACAGCTGAAGGCTTCTAAAATTTCAAGATTTCCAAAGTTTTATTTAGTAGCTGAGAATATTAATATAAAGAACTAATAACGAAGCAGCAAGCTGAATGTAAACAGGAAAACGTTGACAAACACAAGGATGGTAAAAGGAATTTCAAAGGAGGAAGCAGCTGCAGGATTGTTTATTTTATCTGTGGTTTTTTCTCTGGTGTAAGTACTTGATTTATGATTTTTTTCGATGCGCGTTGATTGCAGCTGTGGCTTTACTTCCCTATGGATAGGTGGAATTGTGCAATGGGATCGGAAAACTACAGAAAACCGATCCCTCCCTATCCATGTGCAAAGAAACAATGCAAAATGCAAAGCGTAACAATGAAATCATTCCTGCTCCGAGGAATAATCCTTTTTCTATGAGCTATATGGTTTTAAAGTCTATAAGTAGGATGCTAACCTGGCTACAGTAAAAAAATGATCACTGGGAAAGCTTTTCGAAAAAATGGAACATGATTTTTACAGTCTGCAAAAGGAAATATGACGATATATGGGAATATATCACCTAATTCAAAATTTTCCATCCATCATTCAAAGAACGAAGGTGAAGGAACTAATTGAACCAAAACACATAGAAAAGGGTACGTGGATTAACTAACTAAAAAATCTCTAGACAGAAGAAGAACAAACGACGCTAGAACTGAAAACACCAGAAATTACCTTCTTCTTAACGTGCCCTATCAAGTCCCCTTGACGTTGGCGATTAACATGGCGAAACTGTCTCTGCCTCTGCCTATTCTAAAGAGTTGCTCAGCTTTCCTTATTCCTGTCCACTCCCTGATATTCTTCAACCAAGAGGCCTGCTTTCTACCAATTCCTCTGCGTCCTTCGATTTTACCCATCATAATAAGTTGAAGAATATTATATCGGTCTCCCCTTACTACGTATCCAAAATAGGCCATCTTTCTACATTTGATGTTATCAAGCAGCTCGCGAGCAGCATTTGCTCTGTCAAGGACTGCCACATTTGTCAGCATAGCCGTCCATGGAATTTTTAGTATACGTCTGTGCAGCCACATTTCAAAGGCCTCCAGACGATTAATGGTGGATATTTTTAATATCCATGTATCCATGACCAAATGTAGCATTTAACCATGAGCTTTCGAAGTTGAAGTTGCAAGTTATCATTACAGAAGAATGACCTCATTTTTAAAAATGTCGTGCGGGCTATCTCGATTCTACATTTTATCTCTTGATCTGGATCTAGTTGTTCAGTAATATGGCAACCAAGATAATTAAAACTGAACATCCTTTGAATATAACAGCGGAAGAATTATACCAACAACTTAAAAAGTACATTCATGAGGCTGCAAGTGAAGCTTTGGGGTATAAAGACAAACATGAAACAAAAAATCAAGAATGGTGGTCGGAGAATATGCAAACGTTAGTAAACAAGAAGAAAACTGCTTATCAGAAATGGATGTCAACGAGAAAGGAGGAAGATCACAAGGTATATACGAAATTAAATCGAGATGTAAAAAGAGAAGTAGTGAAAAGTAAAAATGAGATGTGGGATCGAAGATGTGCAGAGGTGGATAGGTATATGGGTGGAACAAGAGTTGGGCAAGCGTGGAAGGTGATAAAGTCTCTCCGAAGGGAAGGAAAGGAAAAATCTAACTTAAAATTAATAGATCTGAAACAGTGGAAACAGCATTATGAGGTCTTATTGACAGAGGATAGACGTAAATTCCAAGATATCGAAATGGAAGAAATATCTGAACATACTCAAATAATTGAGATAACAACCGGAGAGTTAAGCGATGCCCTCAAAAGATCGAAAAACGGTAAAGCAGCAGGACCTGGAGACATCCCAATTGAGTTGGTAAAGTATGGACCAAAAATATTACACGAGATGATGGTTAAACTATTTAATAAATGCTTAAAAGGACAAAATATCCCTGATGATTGGAATGTTGGATACATCAGCTCAATATATAAAAAAGGGGATAAACGCAATTGCTCTAATTATAGAGGAATAACTGTTACTAGCTCAGTTGAAAGGTTGTACGGTCGAATAATAAAAAAACGAATTGAATCAGAAAATGAAGACATAGAGGAACAAAATGGATTTCGGGCAGGAAGATCGTGCATTGATAATATATTCGTTCTGCAGCAGGTAATCGAAAAACGGAAGGCAAGGAATCTATCTACCCACCTATTGTTTGTAGATTTAGAGAAGGCATATGATACGGTACCTTTGAAAAAACTATTTTATACATTGACGAAAGTAGGTCTCAGTAGAGAGTATGTGGATGCTATCGCAAATATATACAAAAATGCAAGAAGTGTCGTTAAAGAAGGAAACTTTTTATCTGAATCATTTCCAATAACCAAGGGGCTTAAACAAGGATGTTGTCTGTCTCCGACCCTGTTTAAAATATATATTCAATCATTACTAGAGCAGTGGAGTAAACAAGTATCCGGAATGGGAATAGACATAGGCGGTGGTGAATGTCTAACAGCTTTATTTTTCGCAGATGATCAGGTAGTCGTAGCGAATGACGAGGAAGACATGGACTACATGTTTAGAAAACTAAAGAAAGAATATGAAAAATAGGGCCTCAATATGAATATGGCAAAGACAGAGTATCTTAAAATAGGAGATGGTGAAGAAGATCCAGAGTTAGAAATTAGAAACACAAAAACATGCAATGAATATAAATATCTCGGATCTATAATATATAAGGAAGGCACTACCAAAAGAGACATCGAAAACAGAACGCAGCAGGGAAAAAAAGTGGTAAACATTCTAAACTCTCTACTTTGGTCTAAAGATATTAGACAAGAAACGAAATTGACAATCTATCGAACCTTGGTAGAGCCTATTATGACTTATGAGGCAGAGGTTTGGCAGATAACGCAGAAAGATAGAAAAAGAATAGAAGTAGTAGAAATGGATTTTCTAAGGAGAGCGTGTGGTATATCCAAAAAAGATCACATCAGGAATGAAGATATTAGAAGGAGGACAAATACTGTATATTCCAGTGTAGATAGAATTGAAACGAGACAACTAGTGTGGTATGGTCACGTGAAACGAATGAATGAAGATAGATGGCCAAAGAAAGCTTTAAATTACATACCACAACAAAGAAGAAGAAGGGGAAGGCCTTCAGTTGCCTGGGAAGAAAATGTACGGCACATAATGAGAGATAGAGCCATCAGAGAAGACGAATGGATGGACAGAAAACGATGGCGGTCGAAATGCGAGAAACGGCAGAGGCTGTAGGAACCTCGCTTATATATATATATATATATATATATATATATATATATATATATATATATATATATATATATATAACACCCTTTGAATTATATGACCACAGACAGAAATTACCACAAATGAAAAACTTAATATAAATGTACAAGAAATACTTGAAGAGCTAAAGAACAGAAAATCCCGGAATAATGGAGAACGAACGAACTAATTCAACTATTCAAAAAAGGGGACAAAGAACAGTCAGAAAACTACCGAAGTATAAATTTGTTAAATACTACCCCAAAAACTTAGAACTAAAATTTCACAAGTACTAATAAATCAGAGAATAAGTTTAGCAGATAAACAACAGGATTTTCATAGTAGAAGATCGTGTACAGATACCATATTCGTTATAAAGGAAATTACTGAGAAATCATTAGAGTATAATAGACCTTCTTCTTCTTAAAGTTCCATGATGTAATCGGTGGTGTAATCGGGGGGTTACCCAAAAATCCTCCAATAGTTGTAACCCCCACCCTCAGGAGATAATCTGATTAAGTAGTTGAAACCAAGCAACTAGGCACCTCGTTTGGGGAGTGAGACAGGGGTGCATAATTTCACCACCGATATTTAATTTGTACTAGGAGCACATTTTTGAAGAGGCTCTAAAAGATATTGATGAAGGTATCTCACTAAATGGAGTCAAGCTCAATAACCTGCGGTATGCAGATGATACAATAGTGTTTTCCAATGCCATAGCAGGGCTGCAAAACTTAATGAACACAATAACGGAAACAAGTAGAACATATATATGGATATAAACACCAGCAAAACCAAGCTTATGATCACCAGCAAGGAAAACATAACTGGAGCAAAACTGTATGTGAACCAAATGAGAATTGAACGAGTGTCACAATACAACTACTTGGGGACTATAATCAATGAGTAGTGGGACAATACCCAAGAGATTAAATGTCGCATATGAAGGGCAAAGAGTGCATTCTTGACTATGAGTTCTGTGTTCAAGAGCCATGACCTCACCCTAGAAACAAAAATAAGGCTCCTTAAATGTTATTGTACTCAGTGCTTCTGTACGGAGTATGTGTGTATGTGTGTATGTGTGTGTGTGTGTGTGTGTGTGTGTGTGTGTGTGTGTGTTTCATTGGCACTGGTTTTGATAACCAACTGGCCAGTCAATTTGTTTTGAGTTCTCTCTTTACACAAGATATTGTTAGTATTTACAT